TTATACTACCAATTACTGTGAGTTTTTCAGGGTAACACCTAATGCTTAAAATTTTTATTTTGACCAATTTTATGTGCTTCTATCTATAAACTGAAAAAAAAAAAAGCAGCTGTGATAATAGCTCCTAAAACAGAACCTATATCTACCCAACTGATTGGCTAGTTTTAAGACTTAGGTGAGATGGCTTATGTAAAAAGGTTATCATCATGATTCACACAGAATTTCTTGACAAACATGACATATTTCTTTCTGGTCACTGGAGGCCTATTAACTCATCATAAGCTAAACCTTGTTTCTCAATTGTTTGCACATAAGACTGATATAGCTTAGAACTGCATATGAGGCAGAACTGGGACACCAGAGGCTTCCTAAATTAGTGGAATATTTTCTGCTTATAGCTGAGGGTCCGGGGCTGACAGTTCTGGTAATGTCTTTCTGGAGTCACATAATTACTTGACAGCTAGTGTGCCTTTAGAAACCATTCCCGAAAGCTCAAGTGGGAATCTTTAAGCTGCTTACTACTCAGTGATTAACTTCTTTAAACTTGACTCCACTTTATTCTCTACAACTGACTGCTGACCAAAATACTATTGTTATTACTTCTGAGGAAAATTCCTACCTGAAAAGAAAAAGATTTGTGACCAAAATGGCAATTCAGAAGATTTCATGCTACCAACCTGACCTGAAGGCACAGCAGGTGATCAGGGCACATATCAAAAAAGAATGGCAAGCAATGGCTGGTCATGGGCTGCAGTGACCATTTAAGGCACCAAGATCTGGTGCAGCATTTAAACATATACCCAAATTCCTTGACTACAACTTAATTTAATAAAATACACCACAGCTTTGCAATACAATCTTCCTATAAGCATATGCCAGGATTTTTCCTTACACACATTTTCCAGGAATAGTAACCACTCATCTACATGCACCTGCAGACCCCAGGGAGAAGTGCTAGGCCTGACCTCTACTAGGAAGCACAAAAGAATTCAGCTCTCTTTTCTGCTGAGACCTCGATGCTGCTCTGTCTGAATTAGCTGCTCTTTTCCTCTCTTCACCTCTGTGCCCTGAGAAGCTCTCAGCATCATATCGCCTACCCTTAACCTGACTTCAAGTAGTGAATGATGAACAACTGAGAAACCTGTGTGCTGCCCTCCATGGCTCTGACCTCTATGACTCCACGATTATTTTCTATGT